GCTGGAGTGGTGGAGGGTATGCATCAGGCCAGCAGGCTATCTAAGGCGCCACCCAGCCTGGCCAGCGAGCTGACCTTCAGCGGCACGGCGCAGCGAGGAGTGCCTGTGGTGTCTCTCAATGTGGCGATGGCGGCGCAGCCCGGCGGCGGCAAGGCAGCCGTGCGCTGCGGCTGCCGCGGCGCCTGCACCCGGAACTGCAGCTGCAAGAAGAATGGTGCGCGGTGTGGGCGGCACTGTGGCTGTATAACCGGTAAGGGTGGCAATTGCACGAACCATTGAAGAAGTGTGCCTTGTACGCTTTGCCGTCTCCGCTGGAAGGTGCTGCCGCCTGTGGCGGCTTCATATTTCCTGTTCATTTCTGTTGTTCGGTCTCTCTGTTCGTGTTGGTTGGCTTGTAAGAGTTGTATTTCTGACGCTAGAGAGGTGAGATGACAGCGGGAGCGTTGAAGCGTGCATGCCATCACGTGTGCAAGCAGCCCCGCTCCGCCCCGCTCAACCCTCAAACATGGCTCTATGGGGTCAGTTCACGTATGGGAGGGGAGCGCCGCGCGGGCTGCCAGGAGCGAGCGGGGGCGGGGGTTGCCCAATCGGGAGGGTGCCACATCAGGGGGCAACACATGCATGGGCTGCGGCATTAGTCCGAGTCAGAAGGGCCCTCAAGCGCCAGCCCCTTGCAGGCCGCGATCTGCGTCATCTACATGTTACAAACAGGGCTGCAGGCCAACGGGGGAGCCGCCAGGGGAGGCAGCAGCAGCGCCGGCGGTGTAGTCACAAGTGCCTCGTGGCCCGCCGCAGGCGGGAAGCCAGCCGCGCAGCCGCTGGGCGCCCGGGAGCGCCCTGCACTATCAACCACTGCTCGACTGGCAGGCATAAAGGCAGTGCAGGCCACGGCCGGCCCGGGGGCATCGCCGCAAGCCCTCGCCGGCCTCCCAACCCCGGCCCCGCCGCCGCTCAGGCGGGCGGCGGCGGCGGCCCCGCCTCCTCCTCATCCCCCTGCCCCAGCGTGGAGTCCACCAAGCGCCGCATCTCCTCCAAAATCTTCTGCTCCTTGCGCTTGTTCTCCTCAAAGTTGAACATGGCCAGGGCCGCCTTCTCCTCAGCCGTATATACCTGGTTCTCCTTCCTGCAGACACGGGGTGGGCAGGCAGACACAGGGCAGGCGGCGGCGGCGGTGGACGGAAGAAGGGCAGGGAGGCGTGGGAGGGTGGGCCAGGTGCGGGTGGGCGCCACCACTTCCGGCAGCCCTCGCACCCCCGCAGCCAGTCTCGCAGAGCAGGACGCGGCCGCCAGCAGCCAGCAGGCACGCGCGCAGCCTCCCCCGCTGCCCATCAGCCCACAGCAAGGGCAACCCAGGCGCGCTGCACCCCAGCATACGCAGCCAAGGCGGCCCCCTCACGCCGTCCCACGCCGGCGCAGCTTAGCTGAACGCCACCCACCTGATGCGCACGGCGTTCATGCGGGAGTGGCGGCTGCCGCTCATCACATAGCCGATCTGCTCAAACTTCTCAATCTGGTTGGAGTCCAGCCCCACCTCGCCTCGCCGCGGGATGCGCTTGCCCGCCTGCACGTACGCCGCCATGGCCTCGCCCTCGCCCGGCCGCAGGTGCGTGCCATAGTCGGCCTCGTACTGGCCGCCACCGGCGCCGGGCGGCGGCGCCGTGGGCCCCACCATCGCGCTCTCCTCCACCGCCTGAATCTTGGCGGCGGCCTCCACCGCCGCGGCCCGCCGCGCCTCCGCCACCCAATCAGAGAACAGCTGCGCCTCGCGGCGGTTGATGTCCGCCTCCACCTCATCCTCCTCGTGCGCCAGCGGCGGCGGCGCGCCGCCGTCGCCGCCGCCGTCGGCGGGCACGTTGCCGGCGGCCAGCGCGGCGAGCTCCGGGTCCAGCCCGTCTGCGGCCGCCGCCTTGGCCGCCGCCTTGGCCCGCGCGGCGTCCTGCTCGCGCTGCTGAGCGTGCTGCCGCCGCAGCTGCTCCTGGTGCTCCGCCTCCACCTCGGCGGCGTGCTCCCGCATCAGCCGCTCGCGCTCCTCGGGGGGCGGGGAGGGCGTGATGCGCCAGATGCACCGCACATTGCGCTCCATCATCTTCACGCGCTTCAGCCGCCGGCTGCGGAAAGCGGGCCGACGCGGGCAGGGCCGGAAGGCAGGCAGGCAAGCAGCTTGAGCAGGCAGCAGGCCGGCAGCATACGAGCGTAAGGCTCGCAGGCAGCAGGCCGGCAGGCACGCATACAAGGCAGGCAGCAGGCAGGCACGCAGGCCAGGCAGCAGCAGGCAGGCAGGTAAAGCAGCACACAGGCAGGCACGCAGGCACGCAGGCCAGGCAGGCAGGCACGCAGGCGGGTGGGGAAGGGCGGTGCCTCACAAGTCCTGGAAGTTCTCCGCCTTGATGTCGTCCTCGCTCACATCGCCGTCGCCCCCATGTCGCCCGCCACCACCTCCCCTGCAGGCAGCAGCTCGCACACAAGGGTCAGCAGCCACCCCCAGGCACTGCTAGCGTGCACCCGCTGCCCGCCGCCGCCGCCGCCGCTCACCCTCCCCAGCCTCGGAACTGTTGCGGCAGCTCCTGCGGCGGCTCTCTCCTGTCGTCTCGCCTCCAGCCGCCGCCGTTCTGCCTGGGCTCCTCTCGTGGGCGTTCGTAGTCGGGGCTGCGCCGCCTGTAGGGCTCGGGGGACCTGCTGCGTCTGCGTGGAGACCTGCTGCGGCGCCTGTAGGGCTCAGGGGACCTGCTGCGCCGTCTGGGTGGCGATCTGGAGCGCCTCCTGTAGTCTGGAGAGCGTGAGCGCGCCATCACGGGCGCAATGCGTGCTGCCGTGCCCTGTCCTATGCAGGATGGTGTGTTGGTCGAGAAGAGGGTGAAAAATGGAGTGCCCGCAACTCCAGGGCGGAAGTGAGGCCGCTGCTATGCCCGCCCATAGCGCGGCGCCAAGCAGGATGCCGAGGGCCCGTCTTGCTAGGGCCCTCTTTGTACTCAAAGAATGTATTAAACTTAAACTGGCCACGTCATTGCCAACCACCGGGGCAGGGCAGGGCAGGGCAGCTATCGAGAATGCATGCATGGTACATGGGAGCCGGGAGCTTCAGGCAAACAGGACACAAACAGAATTGTAAGCTATGCAGGCAACAAACAGTGGGTGTCATGATTCAAGACGAGTTGGTTCGTTTTTTGTGTGCATATGTGTGTATGGTGGCACTGGGTGGCGCGGGGAGACGAGACACGAGTCAACAGAGCGGCAGCTGGCAACGGGTGGGCTGCAAAGCAGCGATTTGATGGGGGGAAGCGGGGAAGGGGAAACAAGATTCTGCAAGTGCAAGTGCGCAACCAAGTAACGCTCAGGTGAAACGAGAAATGTGGGGAGGTGAGAAGAAGACAACAACGGGGTGCACTGCCATGCTCGACGCGCCTGCGCGGTTTCAAGAGCGCAGGCGTGCGCCGCTTGGCACGGCTGGGCGGCCACCGCCTGGAGCCCGGTCAGCCAGCCGACACGGCTGGTTCCACGACGAGCAGCAGGCGGGCGGAGCCGGCAGGGGCTCTACTTCTACTTGAAGCGCCGCATCATGAGGTGATCGGTCCAGGACTTCAGCTTCGCCACTATCTGGTCATCCTCCTCCCAGGAGCTCATCTGCCAGTCGCCCTTGTCGTCCGCCGCGTGCTGGCTGCGCCGGCTGTGCAGGTCGGCGGCCGCCATGTGCATGATCAGCTCCCGGAACTCGTCCTTGCTGATGGCACGGCGCTCCATGTCCACAGACTCAACAAACATCTCTGCGGCAGGCAGCGGGGTGGCAGGCGGAGCCAGGGTGGGCGGCTGGATGCGATTGGGGTTAAGGAGGCCGAGGATGCGCCGCAGCAGGGCGGGGTGCATGTGCATGTGCAGGGCAGGAGCAGGAAACAAACCGAGGATGCAGGCCTCGCCACCGTCCCCATCACCCGCACACCCCTGCCACCCCTGGCCAGGCCCCACCGCGCCGCGCCCGCACCCGCGCCGCACCTGCTTGCTCGTCGGTGATCTGCACCTGGCGCGAGCGCAGCGCCTCTGCCACCTCGTGCGCCGTCAGCGACCCGTTGCGGTCGCGGTCAAACTCGTCAAAGATGTGGCCCAGCGGGTCGCTGTACTGGCCAGAGGGGATGCGCTGCCGGGCCAGCAGCTGCAGGCGGGGCGGGCAAGAGGCGGGGCGTGGTGGGTTCCTGGGCCACTGGTCAGCGGCGCGGGCAGGGCGGGGAGGCAGCTGCGCAGCACTCTCTCTGCAGCTGGCTGCCGGGCTGTGCGCGCTCCGAAAGGCCTGGCTCACCCCGCCGGCAAACTCCTGCATGCCCTTGATGTGGGGCAGGTGGTGGGACTGCTCGACGGCGTGGAGGAAGGCAGCGTGTGCCACCTCCTTGTCTTCGTCGGGAGTGGGCACGCGGCTGGCGCGGACCTGAGTGATGCAAGGGGATACGCATTAGAAGGGCTAGTAACTAACCAAGTTGGACCGATGGGCAAAGGCTATCGTGCGCGTTTGAGCAGGTTTGAAGTGCCTGGCCGCCGATGGCGCCGCCGCACCTGCGCCGAGAACTGGGGGCCTCCCGGCATGACGGCGGCCACTAGAAACCTGCAGGCGGGTTGGCAAGAGCCACAAGCAGTGTTGGGGCGCTGCTCAAGAGGCTGCTTGGGAGCGGTCGCAAGGCGCCGCGAGGCCTCGTGACGGCCACCCTCCCTCTGCGCGCCGCACCTGCGTGCTCTGGCAGGTTGCCTTACGGTTGACGGGCTGCTACAGGGCCGTGAGGCCGCTAGGCTATGCTGCAGCATGGCAAAGTGTGCTAGGGCCTTGCAGGGGGGCTGGGCAGGGCTCAGACGTGCAACCAACCGGCAGGCTTGCAAGCAATTGGCAGCCGATACCCGAAAAGGCGCCCATGACGCGTTTGGAGGCCGCCTTTCTTGCCGGTCCTCTCGTTTGATGCCTGGCGGCCCAGCCAGCGCATCCCGAGCTCTTCCTTGATTTGCAATCCCTCTCACCAGTCCCTTGTCCCGTTTTGAACCACCAGCCCACGCATCAGACGCAGGAGTCCAAGCGCTGATCGGCTGCCGAGGCAATCAGGCAGGATGGCGACGGGGATGCCGTTTGGAATGGTGAGCGGGGCGGCAATTGGCGCTGGGCGGGGCGGAGCAGCAGGTTTCACGCCTGCCGCCGCTGCCGCCATCTGTGCCGCCGACGCCGCTCCGGCTCCCCCTCCCCCTGCAGCAACCGCAAATCATCCTGCTCAAGGAGGGCACCGACACGAGCCAGGGCAAGCCGCAGCTGATCAGCAACATCAACGCCTGCTACGCCGTGGCCGACGTGGTGCGCACCACCCTGGGCCCGCGCGGCATGGACAAGCTCATGCACACCGAGCGCTCCGTCACGGTCAGCAACGACGGCGCCACCATCATGAAAACCCTGGACATCGTGCACCCGGCAGCCAAGACCCTGGTGGACATCTCGCTGGCGCAGGATGCCGAGGTGGGCGGGCAGGCCACGCACGGCGGCGCCGGGCGGGTGGGCGGCACGTGGCGGTTGACGCCGCCAAACCCCGGCCGGTTCGCCGGTCTCGCTCGCCCTTGGTCCTGCCCCGCCACGTGCCACTGATCCTGGCTGCGGCGATGGGCCTCTTTGCGGCTGGCCGGTGTGCAGGTGGGGGACGGCACCACTACCGTGGTGCTGCTGGCGGCAGAGTTCCTCAAGGAGTGCAAGGCGTTTGTGGAGGAGGGGGTGCACCCGCAGGTGGGCTGGCCTGGCCGGCCTGGCTGCAGTGCCACCCTGCTGGGCAGGGGTGTATTCGCAGAGCGGAGCTGCAGTGTGATGGAGGACTCAAACCATCGCGCGACCTGTTTGGGGCATGCTGGCGAGCTGCACACGCTGCTCTTCATCGCGGCAGCGAGCACAGTGGCCCGGCGCAGCCCGCATTAACCCGCTGAGCCCCGTGCCCCGCGCCGCCGTGCGCCCCCTGCAGGGCATCATCCGCAGCTACCGCCAGGCGGCGCAGCTGGCTGTGGACCAGGTGAAGAAGCTGGCGGTGGACATTGGCGGCAAGGGCGCGGCGGAGCGGCGCGAGATGCTGCAGAAGTGCGCGCAGACGTCGCTCAACAGCAAGCTGGTGAGCTGGGCGGCGCGGCGCTGGCGGGGCTGCCCCGGGGGTGCAGGCAGCAAACGGCTATACAGCTGGTCCGGGTGATGCGGATGTGTTTGTGTGTGAGAGTGGTGGCTGGGGCTTCACCTGGCTTTGCCCGCGAATGCCCACCCTGAGTGGAACCCACTCTCTGCCTCCCCCCCGCCGCCTGGCCCGCAGGTCAGCGGCGAGCGCGACTTCTTTGCGCAGGTGGTTGTGGATGCGGTGAGCAAGCTGGACCCGGAGACGCTCGACCTGCGCATGCTAGGCATCAAGAAAGTGCAGGTGGTGGGGGGGCGGCGTGGGGCGGTGGGGTGGTGGGGGCGGCAGTGGCAGTCCGGGAATGGCGGCCCAGCGAGTCAGAGTGCGTGTGCGTGTGTGTGTGCGTGTGTGTGTCCCCTGGCCTGCCCTGCGCCTCTGCGCTGCTTGCCTGCCTGCCTGGCCCACCCGCTGCCTGCCGTGCCTGCCTGCGCGCCCGCCTCCTTTCCTGCCTGGCCAGGGCGGCGGCCTGCGCGACTCCTTCCTGGTGGACGGCGTGGCGTTCAAGAAGACCTTCAGCTACGCCGGGTTTGAGATGCAGCCCAAGAAATTCGAAGGTGGTGGCGGGGTTCCGGCCATGCCTGCGGGAGGGCCTGGGCTGGGCTGCGCGGGGGCCACACCGGCCAAATGGTCTGCCGCAATGTCCGTCCACAAATTTGCGCCAAGCATCTGCCTCCCTCCCTCCCTGCCTACCTACCTACCAACCCGCTCCCTTCCTGATCCTTGCCTTGACCACTCGCCCTGCCTCCCTACCAACCCGCTCCATCCCTCCTCTGTGCCCGCTCACTCACCCTGCCTGCCTGCCTGCCTGCCTGCCCGCCTGCCTGCCCTCCCTCCCCCGCCCGCCCCCCGCCCGCAGAACCCTAAGATCCTGCTGCTCAACATCGAGCTGGAGCTGAAGAGCGAGAAGGAGAACGCCGAGGTGCGGCTGGACGACCCCTCCCAGTACCAGTCCATCGTGGACGCAGGTGGGCGGGCGGGTGGGCGGGTGGGGGAGCAGCGCGCGCGCTGCGGGGGCGGCGGTTGGCTTTATGCTGCTGCACCTCCTGCCCTCTCCTCCTCTGCCGCGACACAGCCGCATGCACACCGCCCAACTGCCCAACAGCTCAGCTCGGCCGTGCTCCCTCCCTCCGACTCTCCCCTCCCTTGACCTTCCCTCGCCTCCCCCCCACCACCGCTCGCCCCCTCCAGAGTGGAACATCATCTACGATAAGCTGGCCAAGTGCGCCGACAGCGGGGCGCGGGTGGTACTGTCGCGGTACGCCATCGGTGACCTGGCCACCCAGTACTTTGCGGACCGAGACATCTTCTGTGCAGGGCGGGTGAGCGCGCTGGGGGCTGGCCTGCAGGGGTGGCAGCCGCGGCGCCATGGTGGTGGGGCACGTGCGTGGGAGGCCTGCTTTCGGATGTGCAGGGCTGGCTGGCTTGCAGGGCAGCGCGATGCCCCCTGGGCTGCCCGCTGCACGCCTCTGTGTGGCGTGCAGTGCTGGCGGTCCCGGCCGCCCATGCTTGCTGCCACGATCCCCGCCCGTCGCATGTGTGCCACTCCTCTGTCCCCTGGCCGGCTGTCGGTGGTAGGTGGCTGAGGAAGACCTGCAGCGCGTGGCGTCAGCCACCGGCGCCCAGGTGCAGACCACAGTGAACAACCTGAGCCCCAAGGCGCTGGGCACGTGCGCGGTGTTTGAGGAGCGGCAAGTGGGGGCGGAGCGGTACAACATGGTCACGGGTGCGGTACCGCCTGCCGCGCCCGCCGCCGGCTCACCCGCCCTCCATGCGTGCGGCTCGGGCCCAGCCACCGGCGGCGTTCCTGCGCTGGCGGTAGCCCTGCCATGCGTCCGTGGGCCTGCCCCGCTGGAGGCCTCAACCCTCCCGGCCGCCCCCACCCTCGCTCCCTGCCCGCAGGCTGCCCCTCCGCGCACACCGCCACGCTGGTGCTGCGCGGCGGCTCCGACCAGTTCCTGGACGAGGCCGACCGCTCGCTGCACGACGCCATCATGATTGTGCGGCGCGCGCTCAAGAGCCCGCAGGTGGTGCCGGGCGGCGGCGCGATCGACATGGAGCTGTCTCAGTACCTCAGGTGGGCGGCTGTGTGTGGAGTGTGGGGTGTGGGGGAGGTGGAGGTAGGGGACGGGGTGGGAAGACATGTGTGTGTGTGTGTGTGTGTGTGTGTGTGTGTGTGTGTTGGTGATGGTTGTGTGGTGTGGCAGTGGTACTGACCGCTGCTTGCTCCCGTGCCGCTGCCGCTGTGTGGTTGCAGGGACCACGCGCGCAGCATCCCCGGCAAGAGCCAGCTCTTCATCAACTCCTTTGCCCGTGCGCTGGAGGTCATCCCGCGCCAGCTGGCAGACAACAGCGGCTTTGACGCCACGGGTGGGCGCGCCGGGCTGGGCTGGGCTGGGCTGGGCTGGGCAGGGCTGGGCTAGGCTACCGGGGCTTGGGTGGCGATGGAGGAGGAGGACAAGCAGCATGGCCGCTGGGTGGGCCAGCCACTCGGGTGCCGACCCATTCACTCATGTTTCACTGCAGATGTGCTCAACATGCTGCGGCAGAAGCATGCGGCCAAGGACGGCAGCGGGCGCAACATCGGCATCGACGTCAACACAGGTGTGGAGGCAGGGGTCAAGCATGGCTGCCGCGCCCGCGCCTCGTGCGCGTCTGTCTGCCCCTGCCCATGCGCTGGGCCAGCTGCATGGTGCTGCCGCGATGGCACGCCTGACCGTGTCCCTCCCTGCCCGGCGCTCCCCCCCACCGTACCACAGGCGGCGTGGTGGACACGTATGCGGCATTTGTGTGGGAGCCCGCCGTGGTCAAGATCAACGCCATTACAGCTGCAGCAGAGGCAGCCTGCCTGGTGCTGTCGGTGGATGAGACGGTCCGCAACCCACGGTCCGAGGGCGGCGACATGAGCGGCGGCGGCATGGGGCCCATGCCCGGCCGCGGAGGCATGGGCGGCCGCGGAGGCATGGGCGGCCGCGGGCGTGGCCGCGGCATGCGGCGATGAGCGCGGCGGCAGCGGACATACGTTTGCGCCGCGCCTGTCTTCCTGCTCTCTGCTCTGAACTCTCTCTGCCTTGCTTCTCACCCTCCGCTGCAACATTCCTTTGAGCATTACAAATTGATGCCCTTGGTAACCACGACACACAGCACGAAAGCAGGAACAGCGCAGCGGGAGCAGGGAATTGCTCATGCTGAGAGCTTGTGCCGGCCCTTGATCAGGCGGCGGCGCAGCACGCGGCGGCCGTTCTTGGTGCTCATGCGCTCCAGGAAGCCGTGTCGCCGCTTGCGGATGATGAGGCTGGGCTGGAAGGTGCGCTTGGTGTTGCACAGCCATGGCAGCGCGCCGCTGCCGCTTGTGGGGTCTGCAGCCCAGGGTGGTGCACAGACATGTGAGCAATCGCTGCGCCTTGCACCGAGGGAAGTGCAGTACACAGGGGCTGGCACAAGCATGCGGGGCTGAGCGGCGCAGCAAATGCATCCTGCCACGGGACAGCAGTTGCACACAGGCATGGCAGCGGCAGCGCGGCTTCGCTCACCCTCGACCTGCCGCATGGCTTCTCCAAGCTCCGGCAGCAGCGCTGGCGTGGGCTGCTGCTGCAGGTTGAGCAGCGCCTGCGCTATGGACGGCAGCAGCGCGTGCCCACCCAGCACCGCTGGCGGCAGCGGCAGCTGCTGCAGCGTGGCAACTGCTGCTGTTCCCGCGGGCAGCTGTGGCGGCTGCAGCAAGCTATCTAGGCTGACTTGCTGGCTGAACAGGCAGCTGAGGGCGTCGGTGTGAGAGCTGAACATGCAGCGCAGCGACATGGAGGTGGCTGGCAGGCCTGCGGGTGGCTGAGAGGCCAGCAGGCGGCTAGCTTGGCGCAGGGAGGACAGCATCTGGCTGCGATGGGACTGGCCACAACTGCAGAGGTGGGGTTCAGGGATCGCCTCTGCACCGTTTTCAATTGATCAAACACGGCACAGGGGCTGGAAGGTGCGGGTTGTCTTCCAAAGGTTTGTGTTTGTACCCCCAGCAGGACGACCATAGCCAGAATATCATCGCGCTGTAGGCGCACGGAAACCGCCCACATTTTGTCTGCCGGCTTACCTGGGTGCTACCAGCAGCTGTTTCACAGCTGCCCGGCCCCGCACAGCTCCCCCCGCATTCACAGGGTTGCCCCTGTGCAGGTGGCGCTCGTCCCCACTGCCCCTTCCCTCCGCCCCGGAACTCAGCAGAGCCTTAGGGCTGACATTATGGCGGCCCAGATGCAGAGCATCGCCTCGACCAGCGCCCGTGGCGTGGTGGCGCCCCGCAGGCGTGCCCAGCTGCGCGTGAGCGCTGTGGCAGAGTTGGAGCGTTTGGCGACCCAGAGCGCCTCGAGGGTGCGTCGGGGGAGGCGGATTGGGCCGCTGGCGGCACGGTGGCTCCGGCAGCAGCCGGTGGACTGGCGGCAGCGGGCTGACTGGCGGCAGAGTATGAAAGTGGTGCCTGCATCCATCTTCTACCATCAACCTACTTCCCTGCCTTGCCCCTGCAGCGTGGCGTCCCCGAGGGCACCCCCGTTGTGCCGGTGCGCGACCTGCCCTCCCGCCCCCGCCGCAACCGCAAGAGCGAGACTGTGCGCCGTGCCTTCTCGGAAACCTTCCTGCACCCAGGTCTGTGCGCGTGTGCATGCGGCAGCCTGCGAGTGCTCCCGCTTCATAATCTGGCTGGCAGGCAGGGCGGCGAAACAAGCAAACCATGCATCACGGCACGCGCGGCCGCCAGGCAGGCTCCTCACCCCGCCCCGCCCCGCCTCGCCCCGCGCCCCGCAGCCAACTTCATCCTCCCCGTCTTTGTGCACGACGGCGACAAGAACATCCCCATCGATTCCATGCCCGGCGTGGCGCGCCTGGGCTGGCAGCACGGCCTGGTGGACGCGGTGGCCGAGGCGCGGTCGGTGGGCGTCAACCAGGTCGTCATCTTCCCCAAGACGCCCGAGGAGCTCAAGACGCCCACCGCGGAGGAGGCCTTCAACCCCAACGGCCTCGCCCAGCGCACCATCTCCCTCCTCAAGGACAAGTTCCCAGACCTGGAGGTGAGCCGGCGGGGCGGCGGCGCGGCGAGGAGGCGTGTGGTGGCGGGGTGGCGAGGAGGCGTGTGGCAGCGGGCAGGCGGGCAGGCGGATCGGCTGGCTGGCTGGCTGGTTGGATTGTGGGGCAGCGCAACAGCGTCCGAAGGCTGGGCCAGGCTGGCGTGTGTGGGACAGCTCCGCCCCGCAGCCGCGGCCCTGGCTCCCCTCCCGCGGGCACGCCTTCGCCAACCGGCCCGCTGCTGCCGCGCGGCCGCCAAAGCGGCGCGCCTCCCGCCCCACGCGCCCCATCCTTGTACCGCCCGTACCGCCTGTACCGCCCGTACCGCCCGCAGGTGTACACCGACGTGGCCCTGGACCCCTACAACTCCGACGGCCATGACGGCATTGTCAGCGACGCAGGTGTCATCCTGAACGACGAAACGATCGAGTACCTGTGCCGCCAGGCGGTGTCGCAGGTGGGGCGCGCGCGCTGGGGGCTGAGTTGGGGGGCTGTGCTGGGGAGCTGCGGCAGTGAGGGATCCGTGTGGTGTGTGGTGTGTGGTGTATGTGCGGGGCCCCACTGGTGATTGAGGGAGGGCAGGGGGCTCAGAGCGGGCGCGGGCAGGGTCAGGGGCCCTGGTTTGGCCTCAGGCAGCCGCTCGGTGCGGCCCGCTCCGGCTCCCAGCGCGGCTCGGCTCCGCGCCGCCTCCCCCACCCGCTGCTCCCGCTCCCCTGCGCCCCGCTCCACTCCCCACGCTCCCACTCCACCCCCCACCCACCCACACTTGCCCCCCCCCCCACACACACACACACGCACCCACGCCTGCAGGCGCGCGCGGGCGCCGACTGCGTGAGCCCCTCCGACATGATGGACGGCCGGGTGGCGGCCATCCGCGGCGCGCTGGACGCCGAGGACTTCACCGACGTCTCCATCATGGCCTACACGGCCAAGTACGCCTCGGCCTTCTACGGCCCCTTCCGGTGAGCGGCTGGGGGGTGGGGCTGAGGCAGTGGGGGCGGTGGGGGCGGTGGTGGTGAGAGAGTCGTGTGTGAGAGAGCGGCGGGGGAAGCTGCTGGCCGCAGCACGCCCCGCGCCCCGCCCGACCTGGCCCAGCCCACGTGCCGCCGCCCTTGCCTGCCCTCCCCTTAATCAGGGACGCGCTGGCGTCGGCGCCCAAGCCGTGCGCCGCGCACCGGCGCATCCCGCCCAACAAGAAGACGTACCAGCAGGACCCGGCCAACTTCCGGGAGGCGCTGCGCGAGGCGCTCCTGGATGAGGCGGAGGGCGCCGACATCATGATGGTCAAGCCGGGCCTGCCCTACCTCGACGTCATCCGCCTGCTGCGCGACAACTCCGCGCTGCCCATCGCCGCCTACCACGTGTCGGGTGGGTGGGGGGGGCTGGCTGGCTGGCTGGGGAGGCTGGGTGGCTGCGCATGGCATGGCATGGCTGGGAGGCTGGGTGGGTGGGGGGCCGTGGTGCCTGCGCATGGCATGGCATGGTTGGGAGGCTGGGTGGGTGGGGGGCCGTGGTGCCTGCGCATGGCATGGCTGGGAGGCTGGGTGGGTGGGGTAAAGGCGGGGGTGCGGGTTGCCCGGGAGCTTGGGGCGTCCCCGATTGCAGCAGGGGGGCGTCCGCGTTCGCGGCTGTGTGCTGGCGGGCGCGCGGCGCTCAATGCGTGCCGCCGCCCCTGCCGGCACGCAGGCGAGTACGCCATGCTCAAGGCGGCCGCGGAGCGCGGCTGGCTGAACGAGAAGGATGCGGTGCTGGAGGCGCTGCTGTGCCTCAAGCGCGCGGGGTCGGGTGGGTGGCGCCTGCCGGCGGCGGGGCTGGTCCCTTGCTGGCGTGCGGCTGATTGCAGCATGGCGGGAAGGTGGGCAGCGCAGCTTCAATTGCGGGGGGCATCGGGCAGCCTTGCACCCGCCGTGCCCTCATGCCTGCCTGCCCTCCGACACCCTGCTCCCTGCTTGCTCCCCGCCTGCCCTCCCCCACACACCCACGCAGACCTCATACTGTCGTACTATGCTACTGAGGCGGCCAAGTGGATGGCGGACGACAAGCCCAGCTGGCGGTGAGCTGGCAGCGGCTGGCGCGGCGCCTGGCGGCGGCATCCGTGGGCCCTGTCGCCAGTAGATGCAGCTTTCACCGGCCCGCCTCCCAAATGCGGCAGCCAGAGCCTCACCCTTTCCCTTGCGCCCGGCACTCCATTTCATGTTTCGCTCCGCTTTTCCCTGTTCCGCCCCATTCACTGCCCATTCACTGCCGCTGCGCCTAGTGTAACAGCGGCACCAATCACAATGGCTGTGTCAGATTCCAACTCTTCTGCCCAATGCATGACTGAAAGAGGTGAAGGACAGGTTCTTACAACAATCCCAACTAGGCTGCAGCAAAGCTGCAGTGTGCATGGCAGCGAATGGAGCTACGGCAAGGCGCCGCTACGCCTCTGTGCGCGCGCCCGTGCGTCGTGGGGACAGAGCTTTGGCTGCTGCCGCCGCGGCCGCGGCAGCCGCCGCCACCTCCTCCGCTTCTGACGCCAACGTCGCCCTGGCGCGGCCCGCCGCCGGCGACCCCGGGCCGCTGCCGTCAAAGGAGAGCTTGGCCAGGGCCCGCGCCTCATCGCGATCCTTGAGCAGCTCATCCCGCAGTTTCAGCAGCTCATCCCGCTCCTTTAACGCCCCATCGCGCTCCCTGCAGGAACCGCGCCGGGGAGGCGAGAGCAGGCAAGGATCAGGAGGTGTAGGGGCACTTGAGTTGGGAGGTTGATGAGGGCAGGTTAGCGGCGCGGTGCGGGAGCCCACACGGGTGGGCCCGCCTCACTTGGCCATCGCCTTGATCTTGGCCCCGGCATTGTTCAGCAGCCGCGTGTTGCCCTGCCGCATGCTGTCACCCTCCGCCGCAGCCTGCACGGCAGGCGCGCGGCAGGCCCAGCAGGCGCCAGATGAGATGCTGCGCGTTGCACAGCGGCAGGCCAGGCCATCCATCCATCAAGCACAACGTGTGGCTCAGGCACTCATGGTGTGAAGGGCGGTGGCCGCCCTGCCACCCCCCGCTTGCCTTGGACACCGCCTCCTGCGCCTCGGCCAGCCGCTGCTTCGTGTGCTCCAGCTCGGCAGCCAGCCGCTCCTTGTCCGCAGCCGCCGCCGCCGCCTGCTCCCCGTGGTGCTCCGTCTGCAAGCAGCAGGCCAGCGCAGCGGCGCACATAGGGTGCTGTTACTATAGGGTGCTGTCACGATCGACCAGACCAACAGAACACAGCCGCCGAAGCTTTCAGGCACGGACAAGCCAAGGGTGGTGGGCGTGTTGGCTCTCCGAACAGCCGTGGTGCTCCGTCTGCAAGCAGCAGGCCAGCGCAGCGGCGCACATAGGGTGCTGTTACTATAGGGTGCTGTCACGATCGACCAGACCAACAGAACGCAGCCGCCGAAGCTTTCAGGCACGGACAAGCCAAGGGTGGTGGGCGTGTTGGCTCTCCGAACAGCCAGGTGGCGATGGGGGTCGCGTGCATGGCTAAGTGGCAAGGCCTTGGTGCCAGGGATGCGCGTGCAGTGCGGTGCGGCTGCTGTCGCAGCTGCCGGGCCGCGCCAGCCGGCAGGGGAAGGTGCGCGCGGCGGCGCCTGCACGCCGACGGACCCGGGCAGTGCTGGCCCAAGCAATGCAGAAGGCAGTGGACACTTGCACATGGCTGCCGCTTAACCGGCACCCTTCCTGCACATCGACACCCCAGCTTGCCTGCGCACGAGCTTCCTGCAGCTGCTGCCGCAGCGCCGCCGCCACCATGACCAGGTGCTGCGCCTCCCCCTCCTCCCCCACCTGCCTCGCCTCCTGCTGCCGCCGCTGCGCCTCTGCCGTCCGTTGGCTCTCCTGCAGCTGCCCCTCCAAATCTTTGTGCTCGGCGCTGCAGGGAGAGAGCGAGGGGCGGAGGCAGGCACGCACGGCAGAGGCAGGCCAGCGCTCAGCACACTAGTTGTCCCGACCAGTGGGCGGCCTCCAGGCAGGGCCTGCAGCTCTCTGAGCAGGCCAGTCTTCACACCCAGCAGATGCCCTCTGGCTGGCAACCCCGGCAGCAGGGCGCGCAGGCGCAGGCCTCACCTCAGCTTCTGGAAGCTGGTGCGCAGCTCTGCCAGCTCAGCACGCGCGCCATCCAGCTGCGCCTGCAGGGCGGCCACCGCACAGGGCAGCCAGGTGTCAGGCGGCCCGTCAACCCCACACACCCCTCGCTCCGCGGCAGGCAGGCTGCCCACCAGCACAGCCCGCCACGTGCACGCAGAAAGAAAAAAAGCAGCGTCGTACGCAGGCAGGCAAGACCATGCCCACTCACCTGCGCAGCCTCCGGCTCCGCCTGCAACGCGTGCACGCCGTCCAGCTGCTGCCGCAGCGCGGCCAGCTCGCGCGCCTGGCCCTCCCGCTCCCCCGCCAGCTTCCCGCCGGCTTTGGCCAGCCCGCCCCGCTCCCGCTGCAGCGCGCCCAGCTGCCCCCGCACCGCCCCCAGGTCGGCGGCCAGCTGGCACAGCTGGCCGTCCTGCTCGTACCGTGCTGCCGCCAGCTCAGCTTGCAGCGCCGCCACCTCCTCGGCCTGCGCCGCCAGGGTGTGGTCGCGGTCCTGGCGCAGCAGGCCCAGCGTTTCTGCGGTCAGCCGCGCCTCCTGATACGCCGCCGCCAGCTGCTGCTCAAGCGACGCCTTGTGGGCTTGCATCTCTGCAGCGGGCGGCGGTGGCGGCGGCGGCGAACGATGCAGTATGATTGGGCGGGGCAGGCAGGTGAAGCAGGGCAGGGAGAGGCTGGGTGGAGGCGAGGCAAGCGGCAGCAGGAGCTGGGGCGTTGCACGGGAGGCAGGCGGCCAGCTGCAGCGCCTGCGTGCCGCAGCCCGGCCCCACCCCACCTTGCATGCTTTCCTCCAGCTGCTCCACCTGCTGCTGCACGCTGGCCGCCTCCTCGCCGGCGACGCCCAGCGCCTGCCTCGCCTCCTGCGCCTCCGCCCTGGCAGCCGCCA